CAACCGGAATTGTACCGTTTGCTTGCTCGATGGCTGATATCAATGAGAACACAACTTTAGACATAGTTTTGATAGGCAAAGAGTGATGGAAAGCAGGGTTCATAACCTGAAAAAGTCGCTTAGTGTATATGCAATCGGTAATTGTTTTGTATTACCTTTCTTTGTCTCTTCCAAGTATCTCCATTAGAAAGAGCTACATTATCTTTGCCAATGAATTCTATAAGTGGGTTTTTTCCCATATTGTCTATCAGTCCGTGATTCTTGGGAAACCCGCCTATAAAATAGAGTCATTCAATATACAAAACAGTGATCTGGTTGCCTCTATATTAACATACTTGATTTGAGTAGAAGTTGTTTGGCTGCTACAGGATTAGTGACGTAGAGCGTCCATCCAAAAGGAATTTTACTCTAAAAAGATGCATTAGATCTATTTCTCTGTATGGTTAATATTATGCCTGAATAGACATACAATATAAAACCCATCGCGTTCATCAATGATGGGTAAGACGTATTTCTTCACTCTTTCTCTTGGTAACTCTTTTGTCAGCAATGACTTTGCTATTCCAAAGTAAGGTAGCTTGGGGAAGCCACGTAGATGTTTCGGTACACGAAAGTAAGAGTACAGTCGTTGAGCGATTATTAAGGCAATCGCGGCTGTAATGTAAGATGCCTTTGATCTCTTTTGAAGAACTGGAATCAATACTTGTGTAGAACTATTGTATGCTTGAATTAAATGATCCATTATTTTCATGAGTAATTGAGCGTAAGAAAAGGCAAAAAAAGTAAAAGGATTTATATTTATGCTGTATGCTTATAAAAAAGGCAGCTTGTGTAACTATTCATCGGAAACAACAATGAGTCAAAAATTGTTTTCTGTAAAAGGGCTTCCTTTGCCTGTGTGCTTCCTTTGCCTGTGTGCTTCCTTTACTTTAAAAGTGAAAAGTTTGATCATATCAGCTTATCAATAAAGTAATAATAATAGTCAACAAAGACTCTTGTTCTATTAGAAAACGGTAGGCTTGATCCTACGTCTTCATCATATTGGTAATATTGTACGGCTACCCGTTGTGCACCCAGTTATTATGATTCATTTGTTCCACTGTCACTCTGATCCGGAATATATCACTTGCTCAGCAAAATCTTGATCCGCAGCAGTCACTTGATAATACACTTTCTCAGCATCCTACAGCCTGCTATTTTTTATGACACTGCTAAAGATCAAAAAAATAAAGTGTTGTAGCCTTCTTTTATTGCATGGACAGGAGGAGAACTTGAACTACTTTGTCTCAGAGCCTCATGGATCTCAGCATTAAGCAAGCTAATGAACTTTTAATGAATATGCATCATGAGATAATTATAAAATTCATGAACCCGATAGTACTCGTAGGACATGTGCAAATGAGAAATACATTGTAATAAAACCCTTTTTCTGAAACAAAGGCGAATTTGAACTAGCAATATTGTCCCAATACTCGAAATGTGAATAGACGCACTATATACATTCCTTATATCGATAGTGTACTCTTTTATTCCGTTTTGAAATAGATTCTTTAAGCAAGGATAGACTGAAACGATATCTGTTTCAAAAGGACAGAAAACATAAAACATGAGCTTTCAATTACAGATTAGCTTTCATTGGTCGATCGAGCCAAAAATAAGGAAAAGGACAAAAAAAAAGCTTTATCCCTCTTTTCCTTTTCCTTTTCTTTCCTTTCTCTCTTTTGATTCTTACTTTACTATGGTTAGCTGAACTGCGTCATATGGAAAAGTAAACAGTCAGTATCCTTTCTTAAGGTAAGTGTACATCCACACGTTTATGAAGGTCTATAAAAGAAGAAAAGACATGACAGAGAAGCCGCGTATTTTGTCAACACTAGTAGCTTGCTCTCGCTTTACCATCATCCAAAAAAAGATGAGTCAAGGTACGACGAGAGCACCTGTAAGCTTACTTGGCATCTTTTTGCAAAGGTAAATACACATTTACAAAAGACAAACTGTAAGAGCATAGACGTGCATTTTGATAGCATAGTTAGCCATTTGAGAGACTTGCTCTCATTCTATGTTTGTATGATTTCATCATGCGCGTCTGAATGAATTTTTACACTTGTTTTTTATTATCACCCTTTTTAGGGAGCATTTTATGAACTCCTTTCTTTTCCATTCTCAAAACTAGTAAGTTTAAATGCATATGATTAATTTTGTAATTAGTAAACCTTTTTTTCAAAAAGCTTTTTTTTTTGTACGTTTTAGATAGCAAAAATAGATATAATATGTCTATCTTTTTTTAATAGTTATTGTGGGGCTACTTTGCTGCATGCATAACATTATAGCGATGCCTAGTACCATTTAAAGCTTATTATCAGAATCTCGCTACTGCCACAGTGATTATTATAAATGCACTAGTAGAGAAATCAGGCGTAATACCTTAATATAAATTCTCGTATCTTCCATTGTCACCCTTATGTCTTTGGGGGGGGGGTTAAAACTCCTAAAATTGACCGCGCGTCTGAGCGGACAGTAGACATTACACGCGCAAGTGATCCTTTTATGATTAAATAAAAATTATGGTTAATTACAAGTCATTGATTGCCTTTATTCACTTTAGCAAAAAGAAAGATACAAGAGTAAAGGCTAACTTGATTCTCTGAAGTAGTCCTTTGCTCTGTCATTTACTCTTTGTTTTTAAATTAAAGCTCAAGTTGCCTATGTCCAATTTGTTTTCCGCCGAAGTCACTTAAATAATTTTCTCTCCTTTTTCGAGCTGTCTGTCAAAAGTAACTTTTTTTTTCTGTATTCATCGAAACATCCATCAGCAATAAGCAATGTCACGTCCAATGATGGTAAAGTATTACTATAATAATTTGGTTATAGGAAAAGAGCCTTATTCTATTGGTTCTTCTTCTCTCTTTATATATACATATAAACACCCATTTTCTCTTTAAGTGATGCAACAATCTTGATGAACACGCACTCAGATTTTTTTTTCCATCAGTTTCTTTTTACTCGTGGAAAAAAAAAAGAGAGAGAAAGAAAGATAAAATGACTTGAGAGAAAGTGAGCTTGTGATCAAGTGTTGAACAATACTAATTCCTTTCTTTCATCTATAGCAACCGCAAATCATTCTTTTAAAAGAAGGCACTGATACATCTCAAGGCAAAGGGCAGCTTCTTTCAAATATCAATGCTTGTGCTGCTGTTGTTGATACTGTTAAGACAACCCTTGGACCTAGAGGTATGGACAAGTTGATGGTAGACAGCAGAGGTGAAGTGACCATCTCCAACGACGGTGCTACTATTATGAAATTACTCGACATTGTTCATCCTGCTGCAAAGACACTGGTAGATATTGCTCGTTCTCAAGATGCTGAGGTATTGTATACTCTAACCAATGTAGATTGGTCTTTAGCTGACCATAACTTAGGTGGGAGATGGTACTACAAGTGTAGTCTTACTTGCTGGTGAATTGCTGAAAGAAATAAAAGGTTATATCGAAGAAGGTGTCAGTCCACATGTTATCATCAAGGGTTACAGAGCTGCTGCTCGTTTGGTATAGTACATTTATGTGTAATTTGCTGCTTTATCTAACCTTTTATCAAGGCAATCGACAAAGTAAAGGAATTAGCTGTCAAGATTGACAAAAACAACGAAACGTAGGAATAGAAGAAAAGCAATGATGCAATAAGCTAACTTACTCTTTTTAAAGTGAATTCAGAGATCTCCTTTCTAAATGTGCAGCCACAGCCATGAACTCAAAGTTGATTTATTCCCAAAAAGAATTCTTCACCAAGATGGTTGTTGATGCCGTTTTATCTCTTGATCAAGAAAGCTTAAATGAACGTCTGATTGGTATTAAACGAGTCCCTGGTGGCGCTATGCAAGACTCTATGTTAGTGAAGGGTGTCGCTTTCAAGAAGACATTCTCTTATGCAGGTTTCGAACAACAGCCCAAGGCCTTCAAGGACCCCAAGATCTTGTGTCTTAATGTTGAATTAGAATTAAAAGCCGAAAAGGATAATGCTGAAGTACGCGTTGAGCAAGTGTCTGAATACCAAGCTATCGTTGACGCTGAATGGCAAATTATCTACCAAAAGCTGGAAGCCATTGTTGCAAGTGGTGCCAAGGTTGTGCTGTCCAAGTTGCCCATTGGTGATTTAGCTACACAATTTTTCGCTGACCGTGACATCTTCTGTGCTGGTCGTGTTGCCAAAGATGATATGGACCGTGTTGTTCAAGCAGTAGGCGGCTCTATTCAATCCACCTGTTCTGATCTGCGTCCTGAACATCTCGGTCAATGTGAAACCTTCGAAGAAAGACAAGTAGGTGGTGAGCGTTTCAATATCTTTGAAGGCTGTCCTCAAGCAAAGACTTGCACCCTTATTCTCCGTGGTGGTGCTGAACAATTTATTGCCGAAGTCGAACGCTCTCTGCACGACGCAATTATGATTGTCAGACGTGCCATTAAAAATAACTTGATTGTTGCCGGTGGTGGTGCCACAGAAATGGAGCTCTCTAAGTACCTTCGTATGCACTCACGTACAATTGAAGGAAAGCAGCAATTGATCATTGGCGCCTATGCAAAGGCATTCGAAATTATTCCTAGACAATTGTGTGATAATGCTGGTTTTGATGCCACTGATATCCTTAACAAATTAAGAATGAAGCATGCTCAAGGTAGAATCATATACTTGTTGTTTATGTCGTATTAATAACAATTATCGTAGGTGGAATCTGGTACGGTGTAGATATAAATAACGAAACGATTGCAGATAACTTTGAGGCATTTGTTTGGGAACCAGCCCTCGTCAAGATCAATGCCATTGCTGCAGCCACTGAAGCTGCTTGCTTGATTTTATCAGTAGATGAAACAGTCAAAAATGCTCAAAGTGAGAAGCCTCAAGGAGGACCTCCTATGCCCGGTGCTGGTCGTGGCCGTGGTATGCCAAGACGATAAACACCATATTCTTTGCTGTTCTTTGTTTGCGTAATTACATAATAATAAAAAAAAAAGACACTGCTGCCGTCATTCAGGCACATGAGCAATTTAATCGTCGCATCCTGTTGTTAAAGTCTCTCCAGAATTCGTAGCCACTCTGTTTCTGTGTTCAAATACTCAGATTTTCACCTTCAGATTCAGGAGGAAATGGTGCCTCTTTTTTTTCTATTTTACTTTGACACACGCGAATATACGCAAAAATGGACCAAGGAACTGTCTATCAGCTATTCCTCGCTAGCTATCAACCATCTTTAGAAGCTCGTAAACAAGCAGAGCTCAACATTAAAAATGTCCATTGGCTAAATTGAGAACAAAAGATTACGTGTTTGCTCATTCCTTTTACAATAGTTTGAGAACTTGGAAGGCTTTTTACCCACTGTCTTGTACATTCAAGCGACTGAACAATTAGACTTGGGAGCACGACAAGCAGGTAGTCTATTGATGTAATAATAGCTTAAAGGAGAGATAGCTTACCACTTCAATAGCTGCTATATACTTTAAAAATCGTGTTTGCAGCGACTGGGAAAATGAGACGATAAGTGAGCAAGATAAATTGACTATACGAAACAATATCATTCAAGCCATGGTTACAAGTCCTAGCATAGTAGGGTAAGCATCATTCAAATAAGGAGGGAGAAGGATAAGTGATTTTTAACCGAATCCTTTATCATAGAATTCATTTGACAGCTTCTTTACAAAAAGTCCTTTCCGTTGATTTTCCAAATCGATGGCCTAATTTTATGCAAGACGTTGAAAGATGCTTTGCATCAAAACATATGCAAACACTTCACACAGGATTTACTGCATTACATGCTTTAGTAAAAGTGCTCGAGTAAGTGACGATCTGAATCGATTCGACATAGTTAACATAATGTGTACTTTTATAGATGGAAATCAGGCGAACACCGTGAACCTCTTTATGATATTGTTCAACTTACTTTTCCTGTCATTCAGGAGACATGTCTTGGACTACTTGAATCAGAAACAGCTGAAACATTAAAGTTAGGACTCAAAATCTTTTACTCAAGCATTTTTGTTGAGCTACCACCGTGCTTTCGAGATCATACAGCGCCTCTTGTTCCATGGTTTTCATTATTTGTAAAGATAATAGGAAAGCCAATCGCAACACCAAATAACATAGATGATTTTGAGGATTACATATGGTGGAAGATTAAGAAGTGGGCATATAAATGCATAAATTTATTAACTGAAAAGTACACACTGATCTCTCAAGAAGTCTCGCAATCATTCATGACAAACTTTGCCCCTACCATCTTGACAGCCTACCTGCACCAATTGGATAACTGGATGAAGAAGACTTGCTACATGTCAAATAAATGTTTGGCTTTATCTGCTGATTTTTTGGATGAGTGCGTAAAGTACAAGGCAACATGGCAGATCCTGAAAAACCATACTGACGTATTGGTTGCTCAATTCATCTTTCCTCTCATTTGCTTTTCTTCAAAAGATGAGCAGTTGTGGAGAGGAAATGCGGTAGAGTATGTTTATAAAAGAACTGGTAAGCCAACTCAAATCGCTCGTCGCCCCCGCCTCGCTTGATATTGACTCTTATACTAGATATATGGGAAGAATCCAATATGCCCCAACAGAACGTCATCTCTTTGCTTGTTCATCTGGCGAGAAACCGCAAGAAGCAAACATTTATGAACATTTTAAAAATTGTCAACGATATACTGAGCACAACTAGTACAGAGCAGGAAAAGGATGGAGCTCTGTGTATGATGTCAGCCTTAGCTCCTATTGTCTTGGAGAGTAAAAATATTGTGTCAATGATGGAACCCTTCTTTGTCAATTACGTATTTCCCATATTTAAAAGCGAATGTCCTTTCTTGCGTGCTAGGGTAAGTCATGGCAAAAAGAAAAAGGGAGAGAGAAAGAGAACTAGGGCAGATATTAAGTATGATATTTGTATAGGCTTGCGACATTACAAGACATTTTGAAGATCTTGAATTCTCAGAAGAGCAAAATCTCCATCATTTGTATGTCAATGTTTTGAGCTGTCTAAGTGACAGCGAACTGCCCGTTCAGGTTCAAGCAGCACTCGCCTTGCAAGGCATGATAAGATACTCGAGTGGTAAGTTTACTAAAGAAATAGCCGATAAACTTTGACATATTTCAAGCATTAAAATACAGTAAAGGACGCCATGATACCGCACTTGCCTTTCATTTTAAAGGGGCTCTTGGACTTGACAAGCCAAGTCGACTTGGATGGATTAGTAAGTGTACTAGAGGAATTTGTAGAAGCCTTTAGCGAGCACCTTGCACCATTTTCTATTGAACTCTGCCAAAGACTATCTGATATCTACCTGCATCTGCTTGAGGATGTCGTAATGTACCAACAAGCTGATGACAACAGCAAGGATATGTTGAACAAGGAAGAATCGCTGAATAGTAAGATCATTACAGCCATGAGTGTACTTGACACTATTCAGTTATTGGTACTACAGCTAAAGGATCACGCTGATACACTATATCAGATTGAAGCTCTCTTGTTGCCTGTCATCCAATGCACCATTGAGAGTAGAGCATTTGCATTTTATAATGAAATTTATGAGCTAATAGGCTTTTGTGTGCTTTCTTCGAAGAGAGTCAGTCCAACTATTTGGTTCGTCTTTGAACTCTGCTATAAAGATTTTAAAGGTGACAAGGAAGGATTACAGTATTATGCTACGCAGATGGTTCCATCTCTCTATAACTTTATCACATTTTCAAAAGACGAGTTTATCGGTAACGAGCAAATAAAATACGCGATGCTTGATATAGTCGATACGTGTATGAGCAGCGAAGACCTAAATGAAGGTGAGAAAGTGCCTGCATGTAGATTGATCGAGTCGATGTTGCTAAATTGCAAAGAGGAAATGGACCAAGTAAGTCTATGGATATATGCACACACCAATCATTTTACCCATATTCTTTAAAGTATATCTCTTCTTTTTTGAACCTTGCTTTTCGATATCTTCCCAATGACATACGGTCCGCTAGCTTTAGAATACACTGCTTGGAAATCATCGTGAACTGTATTTATTATAATCCTCAATTAACGCTTGGTCTCTTGGAGAACAATGGCTGGTCTCAGAATTTTTTCTCGCTGTGGTTTTCAAACTTTACAAATTTTACAAGGTCTTTTTCTGTTTGAAAGGATACGCATTTATTTACTCAAACAAACTGTTCTCTGTAGGACCCATGATTTGAAGTTAAATATCGCAGCTCTCTGCTCACTCCTAAAGTTACAATCTAACCAAGTACCTGTGTCTTTGCAAGCAATATGGCCACAGACATTAGCTGGGCTTTCATGTTTATTTAAAGATTTAATGGAGAAGCAAAACGGTATGTTGGCAAACCATCATCTTGCGTATATGCATAAACTAACGAGAAATGTAGAAATTTCAGAATGTGAAGAAGAAGAAGAGGTAGAAGAGAACATTAGCGAAGAAGAAATCGAGGGTGAGGAAGATGCCGAGGACGGTAACGAAGAAGATGAGGAAGAGGAAGAAAATGACAATAATGAAGAAGAGGAGATTGATGAACACGAGGCGGGTAAGCCTATTTGATTATAAAGCCACGTAAGGATATTTATGTTTTGTTAGATGATGATGTTGAAAACGAAGATGCAGAATATTTAGAGTATTTAACTAAAGAAGCCATCAATGATACAGCTGATGATGAAAACCAAATCAGTGAGGATATGGAAGAAAGCATTTATCAATCGCATTTAAATGAGATTGATCCTTACAAGTACTTTGAACAAACTTTGAAAAGTACGTACATTATAAGATAATACACTTTGTACTTATTATATTCTATAGATATTCAACTTGAGAGTCCTGACTATTATGCTTATTTAATGCAAAGCTTAAACTCAGAGGAACAGAACCAGATTGTAGAAGTATTGAGCGTTGCTGAGCAAATCAATACAGATCATCCATAGTGATGATAGCAAATATTACAAACTATCATTGTACTCTTCAAATATGCTTTATGAATATGACAATAAACACAAGATCAAAAGAACAGAATTAACGCTTTGTCATTTAAAAGCTTCTTGTTTACTTTTGTTTGTCTTTAGAATTCTTTTTATTATCTGACTAGATTTGCTGCGTAAAGCAAGCTTGTCATCTATAAAAGCATGCTTAATGCTGATGTATTTTATGCACATTTAGCAATATTTCTCTAGTGAATTAATATTAGTGTAGCCAAAGACAGCTCAAGTAATGTTTTATTATTTTTTTAAAAAAAAGAGCTTTATTGAATAACCTTCTCATGACCTTCAGAAAGGATCTTTTTACATATCTTGTTGCGATCTGCCGTTTCGAATGTCTTTAAAATTGCGTTATCGTGAGGATGAATTACTCTTCCCTTATCATCTTCATTCTCTGCCACATAGATATCCTCAGCTACAAAGAGTAAACATATACTTGTATTATACGCTTCTACTGACACTTACCAGCAAGAACGTCAAATAAAGGAACGGCATGCTGTTGTCGCCATTCATCGAGCATACCAGAGCGAGCATATATAAAGAATAATTCCCCATCTCGTCCTTTGTAGAGTACTTTGGTAGGCATTTTAGTTTGAAAAAGACGTGAAAAAGTGAGGCGTATGCTAATATTTGATTTTAACATGCACATTAATTACGTAATAGTGATCAATATACCAAAAGTAAAACAATGCATTTTTCGCAAGCTTATGTAGACTTGAGTTTTTGATTATTAGCCTAGATAAATAACAGCAGGAAAATGCTCCTTACGCCCTTATAGTAAACCAAGATCGCACAGGAGTTAATATATAGGCTTATTTGCCCACTAAAAATTTCATGATTGTCTGTAGCGTTTGAAATAGTACATTAAAAGTCGTTAACATAGCAACATTAGTCAACCGCCCTTGTTTATCTGGTTTAGTTGGAACCAAAAGTCGTAGGGCCTCAGAACAACCACAATTGAGCGTCATAAAAATACAATGAAAATGAAATACTTTAAGCACCACTCTAACATTTCATATTCGCGCGCGTCATGTGTGCTACTTTATGCTGCCCTGCAAATTACTTTACATTTATCCCTCTGTGCTTTCTTATTTCAGAAAGGATAAGTTTATCTATTGGCTATTTATCATATACACAGATGTCTTTATTCAGTATTTATTTCCTTTATTTCACCCTCTTCAAGAATCTTTTCGATAATCTCGCCAGAATCGTCTGTACTGAACCTTCCTACTGCCGCTAAATCAATAGGAGAGGCGCGTCTTTCAGGTGTTCCATTGCCTTCCGATATATATAGTATGTTCTTTTTCTTTTGTTTCAAAAATATAAATATGTTTTTCATATGTAAATAGTACATGCCAGTGAGTACGAGCTCTAAAGGAATAAAAAGTTTATCTCTTCATCGCTGAACGATATCAGGATGGGCATAGACGAAGATGTTACTGCCACCAGTACGGTTGAGAACAACTTTAGCAGGCATGTTTGGATGTGGAAAAAGAAACACAAGATTACCAGTTTTTCTTCTGCGTGCTTTTATCCTCCATCTCTGATGATATCAATAATTCATAATTATAATCATATAATAAGTTAAAAGGGATTCCTATGCATGTATTATGTTGTCCAACTCTACAATTGCTTTCTGTATTAAAAAAAAAGCCTGGTATTACGTGTATTTAGACTCCACTTTATGCAATTCCTTTCTGGATTCCCATGTACGATCAGACAACGCTTCAATGCTTGGATTCTAAGTTTTAAGGGTTTATTATTTACTAAAGAAGACAATGCATTCATATTTAAGTTTCTAACTGAAATCAACAATTTAAATCGCTTTTAATTGACAGAGTATATCCCTCTCCAAGCTTATTTTTTCTTCTTATGGCGCCTGTTATTGCTATCATCCCTTTTTACTAATGTAATATCAAATGGACAGTCAATGACACGAAGAGCGGACAAAATATATCCTCCTCCTGCGCTCATATTCATGTTAGGATGCATGCGCCCCGGTAATACTTGGTATTGTCTTAGGAAGCTTTCTGTAATATCTGCATTGATAAAATCACGAGATCTTCTCATCCAATATGTTGCTTGTAATAGTATCTCTTTGCTGAAACTGTATACAACAACTGGTCTTGATCCATTGACATACTTCATCAGCTCCTTAATAATTGATTCTGGAGAGCAATTTGATGAAATGACTAAACTGTGAATTTTGTCAGCTATGTATTTTACTCCATTTACTCTTCTTTTTACCCATCAAAGTTTCCATCAAATAAAAGCTGCCTTGATTTTGTTCTATAATCATAGTTGTTCTTACGTCGAGTATAAGATCTTTGGGCGTCTTTGCCTAATGCCTCAAATTGTTCATCTGTCAATACTTCAAAAGGATCTACAGAATAAATGAATTAATGAGATGTGTATGAAAGAACTAAGCGTACCATTAGGCATTTCTGGATCAACAAAGGCAGCCGGAACCGTATATAAGGTATCGAGTATATCTTTAGAAAAGTTCATGTATCGTAGAATATCGTAATTATGAAAGTCTCCTTCATGTACAGCTACCAATTGACCATAACCACCCATTCTTTCTAACATAGCCGACACAATCAATCCTTGGGTATCATCCACAACTAGCATCTTGCTGTTTGGGTGAACGTTAGATATGCTTAATAACTGTGACAATGTATCAATACGTAGGTGTCTAAGTTCATAAGAATTATAAACCTTAATCAGTTCGATGAATAAACTTACTTGATCTTTTCTGGATTTTTGCTGAAAAAGTATTCCGTAATTGAAAACAGAGTGGGTCGAATAGGAGTAAATAGTTTCATGAACCTACATTTACATTAGCTATGCTTCTTTTTTCGTGCACTGTACATACTTTTTCTTTTTACGCTCAATATATTTGGCCTTTGAAAATTCTGTCTTTTTGTCAAATTCAGCGTGAGAGGCTATCATTTTGTTGATAATTTCTTCTGAATTCAAGGCACCCTTTAATCCTTCTTCCTTTAATTTTAATACTTCTTCCTGTGTTAGTTTCTGCACGGTTGTGTCATCAATAATCAATTGGTTATTTGCATCCGTTTCCTCTATTTTCATAAGGTTATGACATTTGGTCATTGAATAGCGATTGAAAAAGGTTATTTACCAACATTTATGTTCTTGGCAGCGTGCTTAGCTGGCCGTAATTCATTTTTCTCTCCATATATTTCATATGGCAATCCAAAGGGTTTTCCTATAAGATCGTTTGCATTAAAGGATCCAAACTTGCCAAGGCTCACTGTGCTAAAGGGAGAAACATCTATTATTAATATTGATACAACAAGACTGAGGCTGCTTACCTATTAGGCTTTACTTGGACAACTTTAACATTGCCGCTTGGCATTTGAATCAATATTTGCTGATCTGCTTGCACAAAGGCATCGCTAACTGTTGCTTTTTCTGTCATTGGCCTGCTTATAAGAGAAGCCTTTAATTCTGTAAAACTCTAAAAATAAGAAATAATGTGACTTTTAATCGCTTAACGAAGGCTTGTTACACCTGATGCAAAAAGAGAGTCTGGATCAGTGTGCTAAACAGGGAATTTAATAATTATAATAATAATAGGCTTGATATGTCTATAACTATGCATTTAAAAGCTATTTTATGACTATATCATATAGTAAAAAGATAAGAGGATACAGTAAAACTGAATTACACTTTTATTGATTAAGGGTATTATTGTTAGATAATTGCTCTTCTGGGGGTAAGGTAACTTATCAATTTCTTACTTTTACTACTGTGACATCTGCATCAAGAGATGATCTTACGTGTTAGATTCTGTTAAGGTAATAATAGTTGACTTGGTTTCAATGTGCGTAAATTAAGTTTGAACACGACACATGGGCTAAAAATAAAGTGTTCATGCGCACTTTGATTTAAAAATAAGACGTAGTTTGATTATTGAAAGGTAAAAGAAAGGCTCCTAAATATGGGAATTAAAGTAGATTACGTAAACCTTCATGACAGGAAGGTCTGTCACGGAATATGGACACAAGTGTCATCTTCAAGTCGTTGCCGTTACTTTAATTTCATGAATTGGACCACTTTACATGAGAAACTTTACCTTTAGATTCCATATTAATATTGATTACTTATAATTTTATCAAATTGATTGTATAAATAAAAGAGTGCATCCCTAGAGAAAGAGCAATTCATTACCTTGAGATGAGGTCAGCTGTCGTACATGTAGCTTCGCCCGACATTAAACTTAACTTTATTTACGACCCTGCACCAATAAAAGAATGAATAGTAGTAAAATAAAAGATTATTATCCATTCAAACAAAAATATGCTGCAGCAATAAGATGAATTAACAATGTACATTCTATTCCTTGTAGATATCAAACCATATTCAAGAGATATTTGTACTTTTTATACCTATTAAATGACGATTGCTATGTTTGGTAAAGCTTTGGATTACATAAGCAGGCCTGATTCCTTTATTTGGATAAACGGACAATGAAAATAGTTTAATATAAATTGAGAAGGGCTGAGGAAAAAAGAATAAACCCCTTTTTTATTATTATTAAAAACTAAATTATGGCACAAAAAGCAGTTCTCGTTACCGGTGGCGCTGGTTATATTGGTAAGGAGTATTATAGCTACTACTAGCTCAAGGCCATAAGCTAATCTCTTTCTTAGGCTCACATACAGTCATTGAGCTATTAAATGCTGGTCGAGAAGTAGTCATCTACGATAACCTTTACAACGCTTCTTATGAAGCTGTTCGTCGCATCGAGAAAATCACTGGAAAATCAGTTACTTTCTACAAGGCTGATATCCTTGATAAGAAAGCCTTGGTTGAAGTGTTTAACAGACACGAGATTGACAGTGTCATTCACTTTGCTGGTTTGAAGGCTGTTGGTGAATCAACCAAGATTCCTCTTGATTACTATCACAACAATATCACTGGTACCATTGTCTTATTGCAAGCTATGAAAGAATGCAATGTAAAGAATATTGTCTTTTCTTCCTCTGCCACTGTCTATGGTGAGCCACCTGTCATTCCTATTCCCGAAACAAGCCCAACTGTAAAGATAGCGTTTTATAATACGCACATGTAATACTAACACTATCTCATAGGATGCCAAGAGTCCCTATGGACGCACCAAGCTATTTATTGAACACATTATCCGCGATCTCTGTACTGCCGAAAAGGACTGGAACGCTGCCTTACTTAGATATTTCAACCCCGTTGGTGCTCATCCATCAGGCATTTTGGGCGAGAACCCTACGGGTGTTCCCAATAACTTGATGCCATTCTTGGCTCAAGTAGCTGTCGGTAAGCGTGAATACTTGTCTGTCTTTGGAAAAGATTACCCTACTCGCGATGGTACATGTATCAGGTAAAAATTACAAAAAATAACAATGAAAGCCATGTTTGTGACCGAGATCTATAGAGATTATATCCATGTTATCGATTTAGCCAGAGGACATTTGGCTGCTCTTAAGAAGCTTGAGGATAAGCCTGGCTGTGTAGAATACAATTTAGGTACAGGTGTTGGTTCTACTGTCTTGGAAATGATCAAGGCATTTAACAAGGCAGTCGGTCGCGAATTACCTTACAAGCTTGTTGACCGTCGTTCAGGAGATGTTCCTAACCTTACTGCCGATCCTGCCAAGGCTAACAAGGAATTGAATTGGAAGGCTGAATTTTCATTAGATGAGTCATGTCAATCATTGTGGAACTGGCAAAACAACAACCCTAATGGTCTTGACGGTTATCCCGCCGATGCTCCTGCTGAAACTATTCTTAACTATCTTTAATCCTTAATTTAAACCATTTAGATGCTTCATATCCTTCAGTAGATAACAATTTATACTCACAATTGAATACTTAATAAAGCATTACATAATATCATTATTCGTGTGTAGTGTACACAAAAAAAGCGGGGAGACCTTTCAGCCTTGATTTAAATATAGAATTGACATGTTGCTAAGCCCATTTTTCTTTCTAAAAATAGTTTATGAATCTATGAGACTTTCAAAGGGATCTTTGGCAATAAACTCGCTTATTTGACCCCCTGTATTGAAGCGAATGCTATGTGCGTGCAGCATCATACGAAATGTATCTGTGTACTCCGTTTCATAGTTATAGTCGCCAATAATGGGATGCCCAAGATACTTGAGATGCAGTCTGAGTTGATGCCTTCTCCCAGAAATGGGATGAAGGCGAACCTTAGTCACAGGTATCCGTTTTTCCATGCCTGTCTTGTCTTCATTATAATTATAATATCCTCGTTGTAGCACATGTATGTGTGTTTCTGCTGGTCTACCTGTAGGTGATGTTCTCATTCTAAAGTCATGATCTGGATCATCTTCAATAGGCTGATCTACCATGTACCTTTTTTAAAAAGAACGCTTGTAAGACATATAATATATAACTTCGTTTTATGGCATATTTACACATCATTCGACATATGCCCATTGACTAGAGCAAGATATGTCTTTTTAACGAGCCTTTGCTGAAATTGCTTTGCTGCCAATGCTGCTGCACCTTTAGTTAATGCCAAGACATAAACACCCGATGTTGCATAATCAAGTTGATGTACGTTACGAAACTTGGGAATATCTGGATATTTTTCTTGTAATATGCTTTCAACTATATACTGTATAAGTTTGTTGCCTAGAGTCATTTTTTAGCATTTGTTTTACCTGAAGGATCAGTTGAATTATAGCTTTGTATTCGCATATCATAAGGTTTGTTGACAATAAGCCAGTTACTGTCTTTATGGATTACTTTAAGCATTTGCCTTGATCTATTATAAATTCCTCTAATATTGTAAAATAAAATGCTAAAGAAAAGAGGACTGTTGTTACTTGCTGCTATGCAACCTGAGGAAGCATAAATCAAATTCGACTCAGCCAGTTATTCGCGCTTCTCTCTCTTTCTCTCTCACTATTTCTTTTCGTCTCTCGTCATTTGCGTATTCCTTATAATAATATGGATGCAGCAACAGCTCGAAAGAACTGGGAACTAGAAAATAATATTACAACAGTTGATCCTGAACAAGACAGGATCTACTTTTACGATGCTGAACAGGATAAACAAAATGTAGCTCAAAAGCTTTGGAAGAACGAGTAAGTCAACGAGACGCTCTTCTCTCTTTTTTTTTTTTTTTCTTGCTCTAATTAACTGAGATAGCCCACATTATTTCAAACATGTCAAGATATCAGCTGTTGCCTTAATCAAGATGGTAGGGATAAAGTTAATTTTAAATGGTCATCTAATAATAGACGAAAAAAGGTTATGCATGCTCGATCAGGAGGAAACATTGAAGTCATGGGCCTCATGCAAGGAAAGATTCAAGACGATACTATGTACGTTATGGACAGCTTTGCCCTTCCCGTCGAAGGAACAGAAACAAGAGTCAATGCTCAAAACGAAGCATACGAATATATGGTGTCTTATATAGAAAAATCAAAAGAAGTACGTCATTCTAGAACACCATGTACACGCATATAAGATTTCAATGCGTCTAATTAAGCAACACATTAGGTAGGCAGATTAGAAAATGTCTTGGGCTGGTATCATTCACATCCTGGATATGGTTGTTGGTTATCTGGAATTGATGTCAGTACGCAAATGCTAAATCAACAATATCAAGAACCATTTGTGGCAGTTGTCGTAAGTTTGAGATAAATTGATGTTATTCTTTTCTCACATCTATGTTAGATTGATCCTAATCGCACAATGTCTGCGGGTAAAGTTGAAATTGGTGCATTTAGAACGTATCCACAGGTATGGCATCAGATAGTATAAATTACAGATTGCTAAGCAAGTTAGTAGGGATATAAACCACCAGATGAAGGACCATCACAATATCAGAGCATACCTCTTAATAAGATTGAAGATTTTGGTGTACACGTTAAATCGTAAGTAATCAAGGATAAATTGAGCCAAGGTTAATCCTTTGATCTGTAGATACTATTCCTTGGAAGTTTCACATTTCAAATCAACTCTTGACGAGCAACTCTTGGAAGTATTATGGAGCAAGTACTGGATCAACACATTATCTCAATCATCTCTTCTGATTGTAAAATGAAAACATACTTATCCCCCATAACGCACATTTAACAATCATTTTTATAGAATCGTGAATATGCTACAAAGCAAATGTCGGATTTAGCACAAAAACTAAGTCAAACAAACGAAAGTATGACTGGCAGAATGGGTGGCTACCATGGCGATCGAAAGAAGACGGATGAAACACAACTAAGTAAAGTGGCAAAGGATAGTTGCAAGATTACGGCAGAAGCTGTACACGGGCTTGTTTCCCAGGTACTGAAAGATCAAGTGTTTAATCATAGATTCAAAGAATAAAGAAGAGTATCTTTATTTGATTTGGTCAAAATGACATATAAGTTATTATAACATAGTGCTCTAGCACTGTGAATTGGTGTGTAAGGAAAAGGTACCATCATTGATAATACCTTGGTCAACCAGTTGTTCAAAGGACCAGACATTGGAGTTGATGTTGTTCTTGAGAGCCCAGAAGGTACCACCTGCACCACTACCTTTGTAGACAGAGATTTGAGTATCCATCATTTGTCTCAACCACCAGTCGTCACTAGCTGCACCTGAAGCCAAAGACCATTCACCAAATAAGACAGGCAGATGAAAGCTAGATGCGCCAGACTTTGTGTTACAGATACCACTAATGATCGAGTTACGATCATTGTTAGGAGGGAAAGCATAGTAAGGATGAAGATCGATCACAGCATTTGCTGGAACAGGTAAAAAGTCTTTCCAAGCATTGAGGCCCTTGAAAGAATCATGGAACATCATGGGGACTTTGAAGGGAGAAGCATTGATGATATTGAAAGCCTTTTGATAGTAGTCTTTGAGAATAGCAAGCTGAGAGTCATTTGTACGAGGTTCATTAGCCGATTCAATGGAAGCAATTCTGCTCTTTAGGGTCGGATTGAGACCATTCATCCAGTCGACAACCGCTTGGACAGTCTTGAGGCCTCTTTGGATATTGTATGATGAGTAAAAGTCAATAGAGCCGATATGTCCCGAGTGCGCTTCACCGTTTTGAGAACCAGGAAGACCATGCAAGTCGATGATAGCGTAGAGTCCATATGCATTGCAGTAACCTAGAATACGTTCAATCTGGGCCTTTTGACCAGTGCTCACATAAGGTTCACCGGCGTCGGGTTTGATAAAGGCCCAGTAACCAACAGGGATACGAACGTGATTTGCTTTGACACTTGCAAGTTTCTTAAAATCATCTTCAGTAACCCAGCTGTTCCAATGGTCTTGCAAGGCTTGAGCAGGATTGGATGCTTGCTGACAGAAAGTCCATTCATCTTGGGCGTTGGGAGCGTATTTGTCAAAGATGGTCGAGTCCATCCATCGTTCGAGAACGAGCCAGTTACCCAAATTGGCACCCCATGCCTTCATTGTCCAGTAGTTATAAGCAGTACCATCTCGCTTTTCGATAGGAGAAGTGGCTACAAAAGTAGCCATTAAAGAAAGAGTAAACAAATACAACCAGCTACTCATCACAAAAAAAAGAAAAGGAGGTTAATTAAATCTTTACTGATGCCGAGATCAGATCAGCTATCTCTTGTTCCCTTTTTATATGTTATTGTATCATTTGACAAACATGAATCTGTGGAACCTGAATGAACACTTTTATTCTGGTAAAAGCAAAGAGAATCAGGGATTTACAGAGATTCAGTCACCTTCCTGGCTTATACAAGAGGGTGTCTTATTCAGTATAGTTCCCGTTCATGCACGGGAGAACGAACGAATGTGCTTACTTGATGATACAAGTACTACTGTATAAATTAAAGTCGCCCACCCTTCGCAAAAAGGGAACGAATAACCAAATAGAGAAATCGTGTCAATGAAGGATCAAGCGCCTCCTCTCGGGGAGCAAGAGTTCAATAGAGACAAGAGCGTAAATTAGACATGAGCATCTAAGGCTTATTGTCGTGTTTTCGTACATACAATGATATAAAAGTAATGCTTGAAATGACTTATTATCAAATGACAAATTAATTCAGTCAATGCAAACAAGAGTTCATTATATGGATATTGCTGTTTATTTACCGTTAATCATTTGATACTTTTGTAGAATAACAAATCAAGTGGGTATCAAAAAGATCTACGAATATCACATATGTATTGGTTCATTAAGCATCTCATTTAATACAACAGTGTTGCATTACTAGGCATTGTAAGCACCATACCATCTGATTAAATATTTCTCCAGAATTACGCTAGATTTTCGCTTACAGACAGATGCAAGTATACAGGTTTATTGAGGGATGCTGGCTTCACAATTAATTTTAAAGGAGAAGCCCATCATGGGCGATATTGCAAGCAAAAGATCTGATTATGTGGATGGTGTATAGGATGCTATTATATTTCATTATCAATCAATAGCTTAATACTGAATGGTGAGTCGCTAAATCTCTGCTGTAAAACCATCAGCTTTCCTACAATAATAGCGCCGTGGTAGCAAGGCCGGGTTGTAACCTTGCTAATCGCCTTTCAAATCTAAGTGGTAGTGATGGGCATGTAACACTTCAATTATGTATTGTAGTTTTACTGATTACCTTTGTTTTTAATTAGATTACTGCTTTTGATACGAAGTGTCGGTTATAATCCTGGTAAAGTATATCTTAGTGTGCCGGTCTCAAAGAGTTACGTGCCAATATAATTTTATATTTGCAAATACAAGCTTCATTACTGTCCCACGTTTTTGTAATTAATTCATGAGTGCTTGTGTCACATAATTGCATGATCTTGCGCGCTTTTACTATTCCTCTTTTTATTTCTTTAATCATATACATTCACTCGCTCCAGCTTAACTACATCAAGATTAATATGGAGTTCTGTTTCAAGCTGTAAAGTTGTAAGATTGGAATTATTTGTTAGAATGACCTCAATATTGAAATAAGGTGCAGGAACAGCAAGAAAAATATTCAGCCGGTCAAGACCTTTGAAGACGATCCTTTAATGAACTTTTATAGTAAAAATAAAGTAATGCGATGCGTGTAACCAGCGTACAGTTATGCAAATCTATTGGAGGTTGCTTCCTAGAGCACCCTAGCAGCTTGCTGATGCATAGCGAAGAACAGCTATTCACTGTTAAAAATGTAAGAGAGTAATTCGTGGTTACATATGAGGCTATGACAATCGTAAACTCGTCTAATCAAATCATGCAACCCGGCATAAAAAAACGGTGGGTGCTTCCACACTCTTTTGCTAAATCGGAGCATTTGTGCCTTTCAGAAATATAGCATTAGTAATACAGCCTCCATCTCGGTTTATTTCGTTGTTATCTTTCCATGTACTCAACGCCACAAAGATACTGATTAAATCGAGAAGGAAAGCCAAGAAGGCAATATATATAAGAAGAATGAAATTATTTTGCTTAAAGAGCAACCCACTATATTAATTATCATGCTTTCCGTATTATACATACATACAGTAAAAAGGGAATTGATTGTTGTTGTGAATTTTGTAAGTAATGTGTGTTCTAATAACACTGAACAAGCTACATTTCTTCAAGTTTATGTACACTCTAAAATCCTACAGTTTCAAAGGTAAGCAAACGCTAGTAACTAAAGATATTACAAAGCGTAGTTTGCGATGTAAGGTAAAATATGTATTATATGGGTTTAGTAAAAACAAAAAGAGAGAGAGAAAATATCAACCGCACTACTTATGGAATACTATACTTATGCTAACATCCTATGGCAAATTAACGCCATAGCGCAGCTTATGTATACTAAGACAATTGAAGAGATTGCTGTCGATGTTATTTTCGAGCGCTGCTTACATAATAAGATATAAAGAAGTCCGATATTCAGGATTAGACATTGTCTTGAGCTTCTTCATCCATATTCCTAATTTGATACCAAAACGCAAGTGTATGAAATCATTTTACTACAGATTCAATGAACTAACTAAATAAGCTAGTTCTAAGAGCATTATACATTTTCTAACAGATCTTGATAAGCAGCTGTAACTGATAAAATGGCATGTTTGATCATAATACATATGACGGAACTTTTTCCTTTGTTTTGATGGCTTGAACTGCCAAGCAGTAAACAAAGAATGCAGTTGCGTATGTGCAACAAGAACTCTTTTTTATTTCTGAGGTCAAGATAATCTTAAAGTCTCGTTCACTTGCTTCACCGATAATGTATTAAACAGAAATGCTTGTCGTTTTTGCCATACTCACACAATTTCTTATCTCATTACAGTAATTGATTGAATATGTATATATATACTTTTTGACCATGTCTCTCTTTAGTTTTATATATTACGGTCAAAAGAATGTAAAGGATGCCAAGAGATCAATCAATCGTAATATTTATCAACAGTTGTATAAAATCGGCGTTATCATAGTACCTTAAAAACAAAAGATTTCATTGGTTTAACTTCGGACAAAAAAGAGTATATCGGGAACTAAATTCAAGATTGAAGTATATATAAACATAGGCAGGTCGCCTTTTTTTATTGTTTCTTTTCTTCATGCAAATTTATCGATGACACCACAGGACGGCCCACCTAAGGATTTGAATAAACCTATTACCAATTACGTACTTATACCACTAGCCCTTGTTCAATCACATCTCTTTTGGCTCTGTTCAGCCGTCTGCTGGGTCTTTAAAGAATCAGGCATCATAACTGATGACAAACCTAATGTTCATATCAAACGAAGTAGAGCACATTCTGCGCCGCCGTCAACAGATAATACGACAAATAAGCAGCTCACAAAGCCAACACAACGCCGAGCGAGTTTACCAGAACCAATTTCTTGTATCAGAAGCAAACCTACAGCACATGATGAGCGTAAAGGAACGACATGCCCGCCTGTTTGGTGGCAAAAGACAAGAGTTAAGCTAGGACATGCACCAGTACATGGTGATCCTAAGCCAGCTTTAGGAACAAAGATGTCATTGCCCAGAGAATATGCTGATACGCCGATGACTAGAGTTGACACAGCTGGATCATCAATTTCTTCAAGTAAATCAACCAAACGGTCAAAAAGAAAGCTTATCTCAAAATTATTCCATCGTAAATAGTTTAATATCTCCCCTTATCCTATTATCTTTATGTATATTATGTAAATATATTCATTATTCATTAGTTTAAATGTACAAATTCCCTATGTGTATGTGTTATGCTCAATAAATCATTTTTTATACCGCTGTCACTTCGTCACAGCTGCACAATATTTATTAACCAAATTTGGACACTTGTGTACTCTAGAAAACATTGGTGCATTTTTAGAGTAACCGCCTTTCCGGAAAGTAAAGTCACACCAGGTGTGAATTGATGCCGCAAACTCTTCCAGATGGGTGTCTATCCTGCATGAATTGGACAAATTACTCCATAAAAAAAGCATTCCCGATAAGAGACCTTTTGATCAAAAGCTGATTGAATGATGAAAGTATTGATCCTTTACGGCATTTTCCACTCTTTACTTTTCTGTCTACATCTTTTACACTTAATCCCAAAGGGGGCTTTCGCTTCTTTTCTTTCCGCAAGTTGATTTGTTCTGAGCGAACATTTATTTATATATTTATATATCGAGTTCAATTGCACCATCAGACAAAAGGTTACGTTTAAGCCAAGTATGAATATCGCCACAGTGACAAATTACATGTCGTTTTCCAGATTGGCTTGTTGTACAAGCCTTGGTATTATTAAATCATAAAAAGGAGATAACTTAATTTTTCTTTTTTTTTTGTCACACTGGTATTGAAACCTTTATTGTAATGAGCAAATAAGTGGATATACACACAGATGGACTGAAGAGATGGCTTCAGTGCCTTCAGCACTAATGAGGTCACTGATGCTTTCAAAGTTGATTTATTTGTAGCAAGATACAGCAAGAGGCTGAAAGCGTACTGGCGCATCTTCCTAGATTTAGACACCCAAGGAGTGGATGCATTTAATCAGAAATGGCCAGAGAAAGGGCTATATATTTCTTGTATGTCTGATTTGTAAGAGCCAGAGTCAATGTTAATCGAGCATGCTATTGTCAAGGCAGAAGAAAGCATTTGAAGACAGATTAAGTTTGATACTTTTTTACATTTATATGCTAATGTCGCAGCCATGTATCTTCTACCATATTTTATTAATGTTTATTAAAATTAAAAATATGCTGAAAGCAGAAAGTATGAGAGAGAGAGAAGCAACACGATGCTGTGGGTAAATGACAAGCAGAATGGTCTGTGTGTATACATTTGATCCTTTTATATTTTGGTTTGCTTTTCTGGCATTTATGCAGCTATTTCTATTGATCTATATATCATCGTTCGTTTCTAGCGGACCATGGTAATAGCATCTTCCCCAAGTGAACCAAAAGAGAGCCGTTAGAATGGTAACCATGGCGAACGCCACTCCAGAATAATTTGCATTGTCCCCTGTTTGAGTGTTACTCATTTTCATTCATGACGCTTTGACTTGTACTTACATGTGATTGGCCAAGATGTTGGCAACATAAATGCACAAACTGCAAAAGCAGTCCAAGTAAAAGCCAGAATGTTTATAAAATAACTCCATTTTCCAAGATGAAATCGTCCTTTTTTCTTTCCACTGTCTAGTAATCGACAACCTAAAACCATGGCTACATATAAAAAAATTAACCATTTTAAGGAATTATAACTATGATGTCACAATGTACCATAGCTAAAATGGATAGTGATAGTAGTGGCACTGACGATAGTTTCAAACAAATGCGCTGAAAGAGGAAATGGTAACGTGATTAGGCATATCAAGATAAACGTCAGTGTCACAGCATTTTCTGGTAATCTGTAAGTGTTGATATATTTTAGGTATGAACTCATGGGTGCTGCATTATCTCTGGCTAATGCATACACCTGTCTTGACGCTACTGTCATGGTTGTTGCACCTGTACAGAATTGACAAATAACAACCATCATGAGAAAGCCTAGTGTTCCCCATGTTCCAATTGCGTCCTAACAAGTATGTTTAATCATAGAATGATAAAAAGCTACCAGATACCTGAAACAACTGTGCAACAGGCATATCAAAAGAGGTATTCAAGATGGAATCCATATTCTGGATAGAAAATAAGAGGACTATCAAGAACACAAGACCAACAGCCCATGCAGTTGCAATAGAACCAACAATGGCTCTATAAGGAATAGTAAGCATGATCCATATCAAGTGTTCAAGTGCTTTCTTTTTCATACATGGGAGAAGAAATATCGGCATCCTGTGTCTCTTCATTGACTGATGCAGCACACTCGCAACCTTGAATATGAGATAGAAAAACAGGATGAGAAAAGACATTCTGGTCGAAATTTTTCAGCATCCTCACCGAATAAGGAATAAGCAGGTCCTATCATTGCAAGTACAAATACATAGAAGGTATTATCGAAGCCAGTTCCATTTTCATAATGTGTAAAGACCCACGTAGAATTTTGATGAGGTGCAAAGATGGACAAGGCGGCAATGATTATGGTCAAGCCAGCAATAGACCAGAACACGTTCCATTGATTAAGTATACTCAAACAATGAAGACTCCGTATATTCAGATAGGCATGAAGGCCGGTGACCACAAGTGCTATCATCATTATGAGCACTTTGTCCAAGTGGACTCCAATCAGTAGATTTAAAATTGAGCCAATAGAAAGAGCTATTTTTGTGTTATTACTTTTTAAAGTAACCCCTGCCGTATCCTTACCAACTGTCACATTATTGGCACTTGTTGCAATGATATTTCCAAAATAATAACTCCATCCAGTAACGAACGCGCTGTCACACTAGGCTTGTATTGAGGCCAGAATTGATCATTCATGCTTCTATTTACCTCGTGGCAGCTTTTGTCTTACTATTTGAGCGATTATGGACAAGTTCGAATACCCAGTAGTAAAGACCGCCGCTTTCTGGATACATAGAGCATGTCTCTGCTAGAGATAAAGCTACACAGATCATAAAGCCTGCGGCAATATTCCAACATAACAGCATGATCACTGGTCCGCCTCTTTGTAGTACTATACTCTGTATGAGTCTTTTGTTTTAGTCGTCTAGATACGGATTTTACCTGTTTGGAAGGTTGCAGAGGTATTTGATAGTATGCCGATGTTAGAAAATGCTAAACCTGAAGAGGGGTTAATTAAGTGTTACATCTATTTGTTTATTTCTATAAATGTTACCAAATGTAGCAAAAGTAGAGAGTGTTCTTTGTAATTCCTAGCAACAATGTCATTAAAGGTGAATGAATACAAGATGGCTTGTATACCTGTTTCTTCCCGTGCTGAAGAGCCATTTTTGGATCATTAACGGCGCCATAGCTGGCTTTACTAAATTCACTCATAGTTTTATAAAGAATAAAAAGATTAAGAATATATAAAAAAAAAAGGGGGAATTTTTATTTTAAAATTCAAATAAAAAAAAAGGTTAGAATATGCTTTTCCTGACTGAGGGAAAAAGAGTCATTTAAGGTCAAAAAAAGAAAAGGATGCTCGCTTTATTTCTTAAAACGAACATTGTCATTGTAGATATGCCTTTTTCATAATACACTTACTTGTAGTTTTTTCATTAATAGCAAAGATGCTGTATCATGGACGTGGATTACAGTTTACCTATGGCAACCAGCTTTTTGTTTGGTAATAGTTAAAGACGGCATCATTTCTAGCAACCTGCTGCTGCGGCACGATCATCATTGCCTGTTGGGAGCATCAAATATGACTGTTTACACTTTGTCACTTTATTTGGTGCATCTGAGAGCCATTTAGGATTTAGTATATCATAAAAGATTGTTACCTGGTCTTTCTCATTACAACTGAGAACAAAAATTTAAGTGGATCTTTCGATTATTACCAAATTTGGATATACGCGTTTAAAAATTAACGGACGTCTTGATAAATCCGCCTTGAGATAGGATGAAACAAGATAAGCAGTAGTACAATATAATAAACCGTCTTAATTTATAGATAAGGCTGTGCATATACAGTTTTGATAAATAGTAGCAACGAGAAGTTTGAATAATGCTCATTAAAAGAAGAGCAAACAATCAAATCTATAAAAAATTGCTAAGACGCGCATTATGAAATCATACAAACATAGAATGAGAGCAAGTCTCTCAAATGGCTAACTATGCTATCAAAATGCACGTCTATGCTCTTACAGTTTGTCTTTTGTAAATGTGTATTTACCTTTGCAAAAAGATGCCAAGTAAGCTTACAGGTGCTCTCGTCGTACCTTGACTCATCTTTTTTTGGATGATGGTAAAGCGAGAGCAAGCTACTAGTGTTGACAAAATACGCGGCTTCTCTGTCATGTCTTTTCTTCTTTTATAGACCTTCATAAACGTGTGGATGTACACTTACCTTAAGAAAGGATACTGACTGTTTACTTTTCCATATGACGCAGTTCAGCTAACCATAGTAAAGTAAGAATCAAAAGAGAGAAAGGAAAGAAAAGGAAAAGGAAAAGAGGGATAAAGCTTTTTTTTTGTCCTTTTCCTTATTTTTGGCTCGATCGACCAATGAAAGCTAATCTGTAATTGAAAGCTCATGTTTTATGTTTTCTGTCCTTTTGAAACAGATATCGTTTCAGTCTATCCTTGCTTAAAGAATCTATTTCAAAACGGAATAAAAGAGTACACTATCGATATAAGGAATGTATATAGTGCGTCTATTCACATTTCGAGTATTGGGACAATATTGCTAGTTCAAATTCGCCTTTGTTTCAGAAAAAGGGTTTTATTACAATGTATTTCTCATTTGCACATGTCCTACGAGTACTATCGGGTTCATGAATTTTATAATTATCTCATGATGCATATTCATTAAAAGTTCATTAGCTTGCTTAATGCTGAGATCCATGAGGCTCTGACACAAAGTAGTTCAAGTTCTCCTCCTGTCCATGCAATAAAAGAAGGCTACAACACTTTATTTTTTTGATCTTTAGCAGTGTCATAAAAAATAGCAGGCTGTAGGATGCTGAACAAGTGATATATTCCGGATCAGAGTGACAGTGGAACAAATGAATCATAGTAACCGGGTGCACAACGGACAGCCGTGCAATATCACCAATATGATGAAAATGTAGGATCAAGCCTGCCGTTCTCTAGCAGAACAAGATCCTTTGTTAATTATTATTATTATTACTTTATTGATAAGCTGATATGAGCAAACTCTTCACTTTTAAAATAAAGGAAGCCCTTTTACAGAAAACAGTAAATTTTTGACTCATTGTTGTTTCCGATGAATAGTTACACAAGCTGCCTTTTTTATAAGCATACAGCATAAATATAAATCCTTTTACTTTTTTTGCCTTTTCTTACGCTCAATTACTCATGAAAATAATGGATCATTTAATTCAAGCATACAATAGTTCTACACAAGTATTGATTCCAGTTCTTCAAAAGAGATCAAAGGCATCTTACATTACAGCCGCGATTGCCTTAATAATCGCTCAACGACTGTACTCTTACTTTCGTGTACCGAAACATCTACGTGGCTTCCCCAAGCTACCTTACTTTGGAATAGCAAAGTCATTGCTGACAAAAGAGTTACCAAGAGAAAGAGTGAAGAAATACGTCTTACCCATCATTGATGAACGCGATGGGTTTTATATTGTATGTCTATTCAGGCATAATATTAACCATACAGAGAAATAGATCTAATGCATCTTTTTAGAGTAAAATTCCTTTTGGATGGATGCTCTACGTCGCTGATCCTGTAGCAGTGAAGCAGCTTCTACTTAAATCAAGTATGTTAATATAGAGGCAGCTGGATCACTGTTTTGTATATTGAATGACTCTATTTTATAGGCGGGTTTCCCAAGGATCACGGACTGATAGATGGTATGGGAAAAACTCTATTTATAGACTTCATTGGCAAAGATAATGTAGTTCTTTCTAATGGAGATATTTGGAAGAGACAAAGAAAGGTAATACAAAACAATTACCGATTTTATATACACTAAGCGACTTTTTCAGGTTATGAACCCTGCTTTCCATCACTCTTTGCCTATCAAAACTATGTCTAAAGTTGTGTTCTCATTGATATCAGCCATCGAGCAAGCAAACGGTACAATTCCGGTTG